TGGAAAAAAATACTTTGCCAGCATAAGGTGATATGTTGAGTATTTTTTTAATAGCATTTAGCAAATAATATAAATTTACATAAAATTTGTATCTTAATACAAAAAAATAAAACTAAAAAAAAAAATCACATATACAATATCTGCATATTATTGAGAACTGGTTGAATAGATGATATCCAAAAGTGTTTGTTCTGCAAATAATTATTTGATGATATACTAAAAATGGTTTATATTTTTTTTACAATTACAATTGAAATTAGCACCCCTAATGAAAAAAAAAAAAAAAAAAAAACAAGCACTAAAGGTTAACTTTTTTTTTTTTTTTTTGTATTACTGCTGAAAGTTAAGGCCATCAATATCCTTTTTCATATTTGTACCCTGAAGCCTAATGTATATTTGCTGGAACAGTGACTTTTGACATCTGGATATCAAATGTGCATCTTTTGACAATCTCCAAATTATTTTAAAACAGGACTAGCGAACAAATATTCATATGATAATGTAGGTTGCCATATAGGTCTGAAAAGAGACCTTATTTTTAAACCTTCTTAAGGTCAGATAAACATAAGATAAAGATTTGATTAGATTCAACTTTACTGTCATTACACAGGTACAGGTACAAGGCAACGAAATGCAACGAAAGGCCACAAGATATAGTTGTATTCATAAAAACAAAATATGCAGCCACTTTTATTTGGGACAACTTCAGCCTTGAGTAGAGGCAGACATACAGTACACAGTGAAGCTGCTTTAAAGGGAAAGATTAAAAGGTGTTAGGGACTGCCAGTGATGAAACCAGTTAAACTGGATGTTTGTTACAGTGAAGTATTTGTCTTCAGAACTGTAGCTATGGCTTAATATTCTAAGTGCTCCTGGGTGTGCTTATATGACAAGCCAACAATTGTAAAGGTAATGCAGTTAAACCCGGATCTGATCAGATTTAGTTTGCATCAAGAAGCGGTAAATGAGCCTTGCTGAATCACAGTGTTTAGTGTTAGTACGGGGTGTGTTGTTGCATATTTTTCAGGAGGTGCTGAATTTCTCCTGCATGACAAAACCGTCTTATAACTTTACAGAAATTGGTCCAAATTACAGAAGAGATTTAGTGAGTTGTAGCCTTGTTGACCAAACTCCTCTGTTCCCTCTGATGGGAGGGGAGGCTGGTTTGATTTAAAAGAAAGAAGAAAATATATAGTAACTGAAATAACAAATTGTTACAGATACCTTTTAATGTGCGCCAACTCTAAGTGAACAAGAAGTCAACTCTTCAAGCAGGTGGGATACAGTGGAATAACACCCCACTGGGTGCTACTCAGAACACTATTGCTTCAAGATGCAAAGACTCACCAAAAAGTAAAAAACTGGAGAAATATTACCATGTCTAATGACATGATTAAACTTCCAACAATTAGATACTAGACAAAGTAAAGATTACAAGAATTGTAAAATCCTGCAAATGAGGTCAAACAGCAAGGACCTTTCACAACTTGGTAGACCAGAGCCATTTGAACCACCCCAGCAGAGTCCAAGTAAAAAGGTCCTAATAGACCCCCAGCTCAATCACAATGCAGTCCAGGACAGGTCCAAGGCCTAATGAAGGAGCAAGGCCAGTGAAGCAGTGAGACCTGTGGGTGCAGCGAGCCTCCAACCTCCCAACTATCCAAACCATATAGCCCCACCCTTCTTCAAACAAACCCAGGTAATTAAATCTACCTCAGAAAGATTTATGAAGATTTTGAGCTAAAAAAAATACACATTAAGCCCTACTATTTAGCCCTACCCCTACATTTTGCATGTTCCCATGAGGGTATTGCTGTTCCAATTCCTCTTTGGATGTGGGGTATTGGACATAATGAGGGGTATGGGGTATGAATCAAGCCCTTCACAACGAGGGATCTCAGGTGCTGACTTGCCAAGGAAGGGCCAGAATTCCCCAGAATACTTCTTGTCATCATTCCAAACAACTATGGCTCATTATGGAGGACAGGGATTCTATGAAGCAACTTGCAGTACTGTTTTAACTTTTTAAAGCCAAACAAAGCTGTCAGTGTCTCTGGGTTCACCAGATTCTCCTGGACAAGAGAGCTAAGGTGAGAAGCCGTTCTGAAACTAAGACAGGAGCAGCGGGAAATCAATGCAGGAGCACCGGTAGAAAGAGTGACACAACCAAAATGAAGGTGTCAGCCTTCATTTAGCCTCTTCTTTAGCTAAGGAACCACAGCAGGGGTCAAAGGTGGAGAGTGGTTGATTGGAGAAGCCTGCCAGGCAGACACAGCGCCAGTGTGGGGGAGAGGCTGTGGCTGTCGTTGGAGGTAGGATGACAAAACAGTCCTTCTAGGGCTAAATTAAAACTGTTTCTTTAAAGCCACCCACATACCTATTAAGGTCATTACCCGCTTTATCCTTTGAAGACATTATTTCCTCTTTCATTTAAAAAAAGCTTTGTCTCCTCTGTTATGCTGTTATGATGGGACGTATCTTATATATGTGCATAAGCAAACACGGAGTTGCTTTCATATCCACACATCAACGATGCAGCAAGGTGTGTCTCAGTTCCTAGGGAAGAATAAGAAGCCATCACCTTGTGGCTTTACTTAAGAGGTTGTAGTAATGTTGGGTGAAGGCTAGTGCTTTAAGTAGAGGAAAAATTGGGATTGGACCTAAGTCTGGACAAGTTTTTTTTTTTTTTTTGATAGTTGCTCTACGTTTTGATGTGGATTATCAATCTAGACTTAACAGCAATTTTCAGCTGATGGTTTTTGAAAAAGATGTTAAATATACATACCAGGCTGTCAGAGATGTACTTATGTTGATTTCTTTCTTAAAGGGCTGATAATTATAGTAGTTTACACAACATAGTGTTTGCTATATATGTTAACTGATGAATTCATTTATGAAGCCTGTAAGCCACATTTATTAAAAAGAAACAGAAAAAAACGTGTGGTTTTCTTTATGAATTCATGTTTTTCTCTCAACTGATGCTTTAATTTGGTGTGTAGGGCTGGTTAAACTTATTTAATAATAATTACATAAAAAAAAGGTTTTACATATTACAAGGAATATAAAAATGTTAAAAATGTCCAAAGATCAGTCACACACACACACACACACACACACACACACACACACACACACACACACACACACACACACACACACACACACACACACACACACACACACACACACCCAGATCATCAGCATGTTTTAACTTTGATCATCCACTCATTTGTTTGAAGAGTTCTGTTTCCTGAATGGAGTGATAACATCAGGTTTCGTTTTACTGAATTTACTGTGGATATGTTTCTGATATGTAGGGTCAAAACTATACATTGTAGTTCATTTGTTTCCTGTCATGAAATGAAATAGTCTTTAAATTTTCAATATGTTTACATCTGAACCATCCCAGAAGCTTAATCTTATCCAGGACCACCTCTGACATGTCTTTTGCATTATTGTCCTCATGGAGCACTAAAATGTGTCACAGTTTTTAGTTAAACTCAGCATGATCCTGCCATCACCATGTTTGACACATACCTATAAATAATTATATTGATTTGGGAAGCTAGAAGAATCACGGTAAAAGAGTTTGATAAGAAACTGAAAAGAAAAAGAAAATACAAAGCAGTGGGGCCTGGGAGTAACCTAAAGAAAATGCATAAGAGGAGAGCAGGGAGTATAACAGGAATGATTTGCAGATAGACAAAAGGAAAATCAGGCTCATGAGGAGGTAAGATAATATTATACAATAGCTGAAAATTTGAAGCTGGAGTCCTTTCTCTAAGAACTCCAACAAACATTTTCTCTGTGACCCTATATTAAAATATTTTTCTCTGATCATCCTACAGACATTTGGATACCGTATATCTATCCATGTATCCGAATTCCAGTAAAGCTTAAATGCATAGATTTGTAGCAGGAAGTTGTTGCTTTCACCTGTTTTACTCTGTTCCATCCTGGTCTATCAGCCTCTTCCAGTTCAATGAACATTTGATCCTTGTTGATTTGTATATTCCTAACCCAAATAATTTCAGTTTAAAGTAACTGTTTTTTATCTGGTCATCGGGCACAGTAAGTAATCTACCATGACAGTGATCACAAACACACATTAAAATGCAAAAAGGAGAACATGGAATTGGCCTGACCTAAACTCTGCTAGAAATGAATATGCTGCAAGTTTATTGCAGCCGGCCATAGAGCCATCAGTTTTGATTTGTGTAGTTTTTTTTTATTATTATTTTTTTCTCCTAGCTCTGATTCTGTTTTATTTTCCTATGTTTTAATCATGTAAAGCACTTTACATTTTCTTTGTACTGAATTGTGCTATACAAATAAATTTGCCTTGCCTTTGCCTTGCCTTGCCTAGTAGTCTAACACAGAGCCAGGAGATTGTTAATGGATTTAAAATGTTCGTCATTTCTCTAGAAATGTCTAAAACATCTACTCAGGGTGTTTTGTAGGTTTGGACTATATATAGATTAAAATGTGCGTAGATGTTAATATAAGGTTCATTTATGCTTGTGGTGTCCATGTGGCCAGTTATGTCATTTCAGCACCCACGCCCCTCTGTGTGGCCTGATTTTTCCACATCTAACAGGAAAATTAATAATTATGCGGACACCTTTGCTAAGAAAACATGGTGGATGAGCTGCAGCTCCTACTGGTAGAGGTTCATAAACATCTAGAAGCATCTTATGATTTGATTGTGAACAGCAGTTGGTAATTAATTTCTGTTGCTCTTGAAAACTGTGTTTTCTACACGTACGGTGTTGTAAGCTTATAGTATATGCTCTATACCACCACTGAAAGCCTGTATTAGCATGTAGCATTTTAAAATATTGATTTTAGGGTGATTTATGCATTAAACATGTACACACAATCCCTTTCGAATCCTGTATTTTCAGACTACCATCCATAAATAATAGTTCCAAAACACTAAAAGTAGCATAGCATTCATAATGATGACAAGGTGATGGAAACTTGGAACCTGAAATAAACTCTGACATTGTTGTTCCTCCCAGGAAATGGAGGATCCCCTAACAGACTCCAGCCCACTCATCGGCGCAGCCTCCTCTGGGAAGCTTCGTCTTGTCCGCCTGCTGGTGGAAGGTGGAGCTCAGGTGAATGGGAGGAACCACAGAGGAGAGACGGCTCTCCTCGCTGCCTGCAAGGCCCTGAGAGGAGAACCAGAAGGAAAGGAGAGTGTGAAACTACTGCAATTCCTGCTGCAGAATAAGGTCAAACTGCAGTGACAAATACCTGTAAAAATACATGGAGAATTGATTTGAAATGCATGTAGGTGGAAATGAGCGTGCTTTGGTATATTTACAATGCATGAAAATGAAATAAATAAGCTTCTGATTTAAATACTGCACCCGCCTACATGTGTGTACCCAAACAATTTAACTGTGGGATACAAAACAAACATTTAAACACAATAACCAACAGAGCCAGATTAGTTTTGAATGAGGAAAGGTGAAGCAAAAAGTTCTCAGTTTAGCTAAAGTTTGAGTTTCAGAAATATGTCCTCCTGAGTTCCAGATTCTTTTTTGAACCCATCAGGCAGATCCCAACATGCAGGACCAGGATGGTCGCTCTGCCCTAATGTACGCCTGTATGCAGAGAGCAGGAGCTCTGGTGGCGTCCACCCTCGTAGCTGCAGGAGCTGACCCAAGCATGGAGGACGGCACTGGAGCATCAGCCTTGGTTTACGCCATCAATGCACAGCACCAACCCACACTGCAGGTTATAATCCCACTGAGAAAGAGAAAAGGTGTACAGGAGAATATGGAGCTTAATTTGGGCCATACATTTTCAACTAGAAAAATTACATTACAGAAAAAATAAACTACTTTTTAGATTACATTTTTTTTTCTTTTCAAACCTACAGATTTTTTATTATATTTTTTTTAACTTGCACAATTTTTTTCAGCTTTAAACTTATGGCCTTATTTCAGTGTTGGGGTGGGGGTGGGGGTGCTTAGATGACCATGACTACCTGCTTAACATAGTAACTGAAGAACCTATTCCCAGCTGTTGCATTCAGGGACTGTTGAAATTGGAAATGTCTTTAAAAAATCATCAATATTCTACATATATGTGATTGGTTTTGAATAATAACCTTCTGCACCAACGGTAGCAGCTTACATGAATACAGGTGCTGGTCATAAAATTAGAATATCATGAAAAAGTAGATTGATTTCAGTAATTCCATTTAAAAAGTGAAACTTGTATATTATATTCATACATTACATACAAACTCATATATTTCAGATGTTTATTTTGTTTAATTTTGATGATTACAAATGACAACAAATGAAAATCTCAAATTCATCATATCAGAAAATTAGAATATTACTGAAGACCAATAAAAACAAAGGATTTATAGAAATGTTGGCCAACTGAAAAGTATGAACATGAAAAGTATGAGCATGTACAGCACTCAGTATTTAGTTGGGCCTCCTTTGGCCTGTATTACTGCAGCAATGCGGCGTGGCATGGAGTCGATCAGTCTGTGGCACTGCTCAGGTGTTATGATAGCCCAGGTTGCTCTAATAGTGGCTTTTAGCTCTTCTGAATTGTTGGGTCTGGTGTATTGCATCTTCTTCTTCACAATACCCCATAGATTTTCTATGGGGTTAAGGTCAGGAGAGTTTGCTGGCCAATTAAGAACAGGGATACCATGGTCCTTCAACCAGGTACTGGTAGCTTTGGCACTGTGTGCAGGTGCCAAGTCCTGTTGGAAAATGAAATCTGCATCTCCAAAAAGTTGGTCAGCTGCAGGAAGCATGAAGTGCTCTAAAACTTCCTGGTATGTGGCTGCGTTGACCCTGGACCTCAGAAAACACAATGGACCAACACCAGCAGATGACATGGCACCCCAAACCATCACTGACTGTGGAAACTTTACACTGGACTTCAAGCAACGTGGATGAAGTGCCTCTCTTCTTTTCCTCCAGACTCTGGGACCTTGATTTCCAAAGGAAATGCAAAATTTACTTTCATCAGAGAACATGACTTTGGACCACTCACCAGCAGTCCAGTCCTGTTTCTCTTTAGCCCAGGCAAGACGCTTCTGACGCTGTCTGTGGTTCAAGAGTGGCTTGACACAAGGAATGCGACAGCAGAAACCCATGTCTTTCATACGTCTGTGTGTGGTGGTTCTTGAAGCACTCACTCCAGCTGCAGTCCACTCTTTGTGAATCTCCCCCACATTTTTGAATGGGTTTTGTTTCACAATCCTCTCCAGGGTGCGGTTATCTCTCTTGCTTGTACACTTTTTTCGACCACATCTTTTCCTTCCCTTCGCCTCTCTATTAATGTGCTTGGACACTGAGCTATGTGAACAGCCAGCCTCTTTAGCGATGACCTTTTGTGTCTTGCCCTCCTTGTGCAAGGTGTCGATGGTCGTCTTTTGGACAACTGTCAAGTCAGCAGTCTTCCCCATGATTGTGTAGCCTATAGAACTAGACTGAAAGACCATTTAAAGGCTTTTGCAGGTGGTTTGAGTTAATTAGCTGATTAGAGTGTGGTACCAGGGGCCATCAATTTTGAACCTTTTCACAATATTCTAATTTTCTGATATGATGAATTTGAGATTTTCATTTGTTGTCATTTGTAATCATCAAAATTAAACAAAATAAACATCTGAAATATATGAGTTTGTATGTAATGTATGAATATAATATACAAGTTTCACTTTTTAAATGGAATTACTGAAATCAATCTACTTTTTCATGATATTCTAATTTTATGACCAGCACCTGTACAAGAATCAAATCTCAGATGATAAAATATGATTTTAACAGATTTGACAGAAAGCTGTGGGAGATTTCCTAAAAATCTCCATTATTTACTGTTGTTAAAACATAATAGAAGTAATAACAATAATACATTTTTTTTTTGCAGACTCTTTTTTTTAGGTTGAAATGTTTCTCTCTTTTTTTTTTTTTTCCTTTAACAAAATTTATGGCCCCAATTTAGCTCCATAGCAGGATACAAAAAACCTCTATGAAAGTCTTGTCTGGAAGTAGTTCATAAAGATGAGAACATTGTTACAAAAAAGTACCAAGATTGAAGCTTAATTCTACCCCTTATCCATTTCAGGTGCTAATAGATTCATGCCGGGCTAAAGGTCGTGACATCATCATCATTGCTACAGAGATGGGCCTGAGCAGAGGCCCGGTGACCAGGCGTTACCTGAACGTCCCCCCGTCTCCGGACTCCTCGCCTGTGTCCTGCATGTCCCCGTCTGAAATCATTGTAAAGACCGGCTCGCCGAAGTCATCCGAGGGAGGAAACATCTTTAATTTCAGAGGAATGAGTGAGTGAGGATCTGAAAGAGGCCTGGGATTAAGCTTTACGTCAAATTACAGATTATTGTCCTGTTGAAGCAGAACAAATGTTTTTAAGGCACAGTTAACTGACCAAGATTGTAACAATAATGGAGGAAGATCCTGAATCATCACTATCATCATTCACGGCAAAGCAAATTTCAATAAAAAACAAAAACTGAACTAACTGCACACAGTAACAAGAAGTTTGGACCAGCTGTCATGCACAGTGGTGGCAGCTCCACACTGAGGAGCTGCAGGGCTGCCAGTGGTACTGGTGCATCACATGATGTAGACAGACTAATATATTCTTTACATTTATCCCAAATTGAGAGCCAGAAGGCTAAAGCTCTGATATAATCTGATCCAACAGGCCATATGATCTGGACCACACACCACCTCTGATTTAGGATTAGCCAAAATTAAACAGAAGACTTTTGAAGGAAGTTGTTAATGCATTGAAAACTATTTTTAAGGTGCTACATAGAAATTTTGTCTTGCTAATGACCATTACATCACCAAAACAAAAATGTTGCAAAAAGAAATATATGAGTGTGTGATTTGAGAACTGTAGGATTGGCAGATTTAAGTCATGTTTTCCTTGATTAATTTCCTGTAGGTAAACAAGGAAACAGCAGCAGCAGACGTTCATCATGTGAGCTGAGTCGGCTGAACCTGAGAAGCAGTCCAGCTTCCAGGCAGAGGGTATCGTCCGAACCTTGGCTGGCCATCAACAACCTGGACTCTCTGAACAGGGCGTATGAAGAGGGAATAAGGGAGAGGAGCCTGGAGGTGGAAGGAGATATCCTGGACTTAAAGGAGCAGGAAAGCAGAAATGAAGATGCAGATGAGGAGCTTTATTTCCAAAGTGGGAAAGATGTGATGCAAAGACAGGATCTTGGATTTAAAGAGAAGGATCATGAATGCTGGAGTGAGGACTCAGTCCTTTCACTAACTGAGAAGAGCTTGACTATAACAGACAGGGAGACATCTGCTCGGTGTCATTGCCGCAGGAACACCCTCCCCTCCGTCACCGTGCTCCCACCTCCAGTTCACCTCCCTCCTCTAAAAAAGTATCCAGATTCTCACCTGCAGGTTCCGGCTAATATTTTCCCAAGTAAAAGCAGCTGCATGTTGTTTCAGCCTCACCCCCCCAGTTCCCCTCCTCCATCCTCAGTATCTGCCAGAGCAGCCTTGCTTCCTCTGCTACCCCTCACCTCGTCTCTGGTCGCTCCTCCTGGCTGCAGCCGTAGTGAGAGGAGCAGGAGGTCACTGCGTCGTCACTCAGCGCAGTTTGAGCAGAATCATTTGGACTTCTGAGGCTCCATCCTACCAGAACAGTCTGGTTTCATTCATTTAAAGCAAACATTGACATAACCTGTGCAGTTTGCAGCCTTTTCTTGCATTAATAGGTCTTCTGTTGTCCTGCATTAAATAAGGTTAACAGTTTCAACTTCAGTTAAACCTCTGTTTGTGCAGCCCAATAGGAAACGGCATAAAACCTGATTAAAGAAACAACAGTTTTCTTGTTTTTCTTCTCTTCAAGCCTTTATTATTTTCCCAAAAAAGTGATTTGTCTCACGCCTACATTGATGGTCACTATATCCATTCAAAATGCATTCAAGATCATTTTAAATTATATATTGGTATATTTTTAAACTTTTAAAACTTTAATATATTTAACCATATAATTTGCTTTTTCTCATATTTATTTACAAGAATAATTTTGTTTACTTATTTTTCCCTTTTGGACAGGATTCCCTTGAATGAAAAAAATACATTTTATTAAAATGTATTTCATTTTATCCGTAAAGGATTTCATCTGTATTAAATTATTTTGTTGTAACCTTCAGGATCTTCCACAAGGAAAACATTTCTAGGACAATCTTGTAAAGGTTATTTATGATGTCCAAGGAAAATCAGGTAGTTAATTTTGCAGAACTTCCAGCTTACTGATTTACGTTATATTCTTTCCTTGAGGATCTTCAAATAAAACTGTTAAAGGACAGAAGAAAAAAAACACCGGGAAAGGATTAGGCCACTAACTAATGATTATTTTGGTAATCAATTAATCTATCGATTATTTTTTTTTTGGATAAAAAATCAGATTCAGGTTCCTTAAAGATGTTTTTTACAGAATTTAAACCAGGTGAACCTAAAACTCTTCGAATGAGGGTTCTGGATGGCGGACAAATTGATGGATAAACAAAGGTTTTTTATCTTAAAGGTATAGCATATGATCCGGGTGGATCATCAAAATAAGTGGCCCTCCTAATTGTCAATCATTCTGGTGATATGTTTCTGTAAGGCCGTCCTAAGTGCTTGTCTACATTTTCACGTACTGGTAGTGATAGTTGAAAAACTGCAAATTTTTCAGAAAGTAGGCTTGGATGAGCAATCCACTACCTTTAAATAGAAAACAATTTTGGTATAATTACTACTAAGAGTGGGTTCCTCTGTTAGCTAAATGCATTTTTGAGTCTCATTACTCTAGTTATGATTAATCGATTTCTACATCAGTTGAATTTTTCAACAATTGATTAATCACAACTAATCCGATGAATTCTTTCAGCCTTAGAAAGGATAAAAAGGTTCACACTGGGTAACACTTTGTTGACACACCAAAAAGATCTCTCTCTAAAACGCAAACATCGTTACCCACCATTCTTGCAGGGTTTTAAGTTGGGATCTGGTGCCTATCTCTAGTGTTCACTGGGTGAGAAGCTGGGTTCTACCTAGAGAGGTCGCTGGTCCATCAATGCTCAGCACAGAGACAGAGAGGACAGCCAGCCATGCAAAAAGTTACTCGACCTTAAAGGCAGCACAGAATCCAAAATAACCTGGCAGTCAGGTTTTCAGATGGTGGGAGGACACTGGCGTGGTTAGAAGGAACTTAAATGAGAACATCATTACCAGCAAATGCAACATAATTCATGTTTTTATATGATTAGAATTTGCATGGTTGAAATATCTTCAACATATTTATAACTCATATGCTCCTGAATGTTGCCAGAATGTGTATTCATAAAAAACCCATCTTAAAACCCTAAATGATTGCCATTAAAGGTTGATGTGGCTTGCCATAGATTTTAAATCCCAGGTTGGAGAACTGTTTTGGTAGATCTCTAAGCTAGTGTTCCCACATATTTTTTTTCTTCTCATAACTGGAAAAAATGTTATGAACTCATGTAAGAGTAGCTTCAGCATCATCACTTTCCATGTTTTCCATCTTTAATGCTCTAATGCCTTCATTTGGTGCTAAACATTTATCCAGCTGCCCTATGCTTGCTCTTCTATATACATATTTTACAACTTCTGGCATGGAAACCATTAATTTTTAACTTTAAGTCGGAACACACAACACACCGATTAAAAAAAGGATAACACGTCATTCAAAATTAGAACTACTATAGCAAACATTGCTAGATCGTCTGATTGGTTTCACCAACAATTATGTCTAAATATAATTATTCTAAACAGAAGCCTCATGTTCATGGCAAAAGGAGTGAAGTCATTTTATTTCTTTTTAATATGTATCTACAACAAGGGGGACACAGGCAAAAAACGACTGACAAGTTGATGGAAATTAATACAATAAAATAAAGTACATTAATCTTCATCAATGTAGATTTCCAACCTTTTTTTTTCCCAATAAGCAACTTATTTTTTTGTCTAAATTAACTTTACAATATAAAGAAACATACAAAGGAACCTCATTTTTATTTTTTTTTAAACTACACAAGACATTTAGGATTTGAAACTACCCTAACATGATATACAAAGCAACTTCCTGCCTCATATTCAATACTGCTTTGTCATCAGGAGGAAATGAGGAACCAAACAGAAAAGAAAAAAAAAATAAAATCTTTACTCCCAATTCTGCCCCAAAGTCCTCTCTTAACCCTCCCTATCCCTTAATGTTACAGTATTATACATCAGCACAATAGAAATACAGTAATGATCGACATTGTGACGGCTTTACTTACAGGACAGAAAGAAGTCGGGCTGCATTTTATACAACAGTATTAAAGTACATGGGAGAAAATGCACCTTCCTGCACTTTGTCTACCTCATCTTAGCAACAAATATATCCGTCTGGCTTTTTTTTTTTTCTTCCTCTTACTTATGCAAACATTTCTCTTGCCTGATTTTAAATAGATTAGAAAATCCTTCATAGTAAAGTATGTACTCTGATTCAGGTGTGTTGGACAGAGAGCCAGTGTCCTGTGTGCCCTCTGTTTTAGTCGTGTCAGAAGAAGCTAAGCTGCAGTGCATCGAAAACCAAGTGCCTTTTATTTATTTTTTGCACTCGTCTTTGAAAATCCTGCCAAAAATTCCAAAAATATTCTTATTTTGTATTTTTCTTTGTCCCCAAGAATGCACCGTGTTTAAAGCAAGGTGCTGATAAATCATTGCAGAACTACAGGAATATATTCCTCCTCAGCCCTGCTCATTTGCAGCATACAGCCCCCCCACATCTATGGGTTGTGAGGTGAAATAGCATAATAGTCTATAGCAGCTCCGGTTTTTGTAAGTTTCATATCATTTCTGGTTAAAGGTACACAGTTTGCCTGATTCAGCACGCTACTGATCAGCTGTTCAGTTGTGATTTGAAATATCAAAACATGTCAATGATATCAAAATGCATTTTACAGTATTTACAAAAAAAAGGAACAAATCAAAAACATGGTGTACAAAAAAAAATAAAGGGGGTGGGGGGGAGTGTTGGTATAAGAATGCCAGCCTGATGGAAAGACATGGAAAAAAGAAAGCAAGGAGGAGGAGTGATATCGGTCTTTACATTGAATGAAGTAAAGATTTGCAGCTTCCAAACCTATTTCACCTTCAATCTAAACAGCGTCAAAGCAAACTTTAAAACAGCGCAGACAGAAAACAAAAAAAATATCACAAATAAAGCACATGGAGTGAAAAGTATAGTCGGTGGAGGGAGTGGACAGCACCATTCGGGCTCAGATGGAGGACTCTGCCAATTGCATCTGCAGATTTATACCGTCGCTACTTACTCTGCAGCTAACAAAGAAAACAAAAATCAGGAAAAGCACTTTAAAAGGTGTAGGATTTTTATACACAAATTAAAACATAAATAAATAGAGGTGTGCATTTTCATTTTTTTAACTGCAGGAAAGCTATGAGACAAGGAGCCACAGCTGCTGCTGGTGAGCAGGAACTTTAAAAAAGTCCAGATGTTTTAAAAATGCCCGATTGTAACATGGATAAAACCCCACCAGCAGGGGGCAGTGTGTCTACAGGAAGCAACATGTTGCACAGCAAACTACAGGGGCATCTCACTAAATCTGAATATCATCAAAAAGTTTATTTCAGAGTTTTAATCCAAAAAGTCAAACTTGTTGATACAGATTAAATAAAACATATCTGTTTATTTTGGCTCATTTTGATTATTTGGCCAACAGCTAATGAAAATCAAAAATTCAGCTCCTTGTAAATTCAGACAAAAAATATAGTTATTAAAGTTTATGGAGATTTATGCAAATTTATGGAGGAGACATCTGACTTCACAATGATCAACGCTCTTCTTTTAGCATTTGAATGGAAAGTTGAGCAGAAAAAGTTCTTGCTTCCAGAGGAATCCTCTGAAGCTAGGCAACGTTTGAAGCTCTTACACAGGCTAACAAAAAGGACTCTGTTATTGGTGGCAAAACAACTAAGCTTGATTGGCTGGTAGACGGGTATGACCAACATCCCAGCAGAGAATCGAATGATGCAGAGTTTAAAGCTATAGTCTGTAACTTTTCTTAAACGATGAGAGATATATCCAACTGCACCTTCCCCCCTGCCTCTCCTCCTGCAGGAGATGACTCATGCCTCAAACACCTGTAAACAGCGTGAATAAATAGTATTGACAGAAAAACTACAAACATAAAACCAATGTGCTGGAAGGTTGAATCCTACGCTTATCTTTTAGCCTATTACATCCAATTTAAAATAATTCTACTTTTGTTCGCCTCCTTGCTTTTCCTAAGTTGATCTGTAGTTCAGACTATAGACTATAACGTTGGTCTGGATGGTGCCATACAGGCCCAACTGCTGTGAAATTAAAGTTTAGAATAGTAGAGAACTCAGCGTTATTGTCATTACACTGTCACAAGTACAAAACAACAAAATGAACTCTCTGCATTTAACCCATCCACTTGGTAGAGCAGTGGACTGCAATTGTGCAGCGCTCAGGGAGCAGGGTGGGGTTTTTGCTCAGGGGGACTAAGTGGCAGTCCACGGTAGTGGGGCTTGAACTTATAACCTCTGGAAGACACGCTCAATGCCCTAACCCCAACCACCACTCCACCCAGAAATAACTAAAGCTAAAGTTTGGACTGAGTATTGAACTCTTTAGCTTAGTGGATTCAGGGTCTTCCTCAAGTTTAATCAGTGCAGCTGTGCCAACCGACTCCGGCGCAGATCCCTTTCCTTACACACTGATTTGATCCAAACACATCAAATTGTAGCTCCTAGCTCCTGTT